GGTTATTTTGTTGCCTTCTGCAACACTTGGCTCTCTGTTGGGCCTCCTGGGATCATCTTGTGTGGTTTATTTTTCCTGTTGCTGTCTGTGTGCAGCTTGTGTGTTTGATTTCTGTTGCTGTCTGTGTGCAGCTTGTGTGTTTCTTCTCTGTTGCTGTCTGTGTGCAGCTTGTGTGTTTCTTTTCTGTTGCTGTCTGTGTGCAGCTTGTGTGTTTCTTTTCTGTTGCTGTCTGTGTGCAGCTTATTTGTTAGTGTGCCTCTTACTTGTGTCTGAGCCCTTGTTTGTTTCTCTTCTGTGTGAATATGAATTCTTATCCTGTGGCTACTTTTGATGGTAAGGGTGATTTTGCTATATGGAAACAGAAAATGAAAGGTGTTTTAGTTCAATAGAAATGTTTCAAGGCTATAACTCAAACTTATGATGATAAAACCACAAAAGAAATGAAAGATGATTTTGATGAACTTGCTTACTCCCTGATTATTTTGAACCTATCTGACTCTGTGATTAGAAAGATAGGTAAGCTTGATACTGCTAAGGATTTATGGGATAAGTTAGAAGAGCTTTATACTGAAACCTCTTTACCCTCAAAAATGTTTTTACTGGAAAAGTTTTTTAGATTTAAACTTGACTTGCACAAAGATATAGATGAAAATCTTGATGTTTTTACAAAACTTGTGCAAGACATAAAGTTAACTGGGGATAAAACCATTGATGAATATACCCCCATTGTTCTTCTAAATGCTATTCCAGATTCTTACAGTGATGTCAAATCTGCTATTAAGTATGGCAGAGATAAAGTGACTCTGGACACTGTGATAAATGGTTTGAAAAGTAAGGAACTTGATTTGAAAACTACCAAAAGCAACAAGTCTTTGGGTGATGTAAACTTTGTGAAAAACAAGCCTAAAAACAAGTTTTCAAACAAGGCTTCTTCCTCCAGTAACCAAAATTTTCAAAAATTTGATAAGGGTAAAGTAGGGAGTAAGAACAAGCTCAAACATAGGAAATGTTACAACTGTGGCAAGTCTGGTCATTATGCTAATAGGTGTGCTGAACCTAAAAAAGAAGTTAAGTCTAATAATGAACAGGCTAACCAAGTTGCTGAAAACATGGGTGATGTGTTTATGATTACAGATGAGTATCTTGATTTTGTGAATTCTGTGTCTGCATCTTTGACTGATAATGACTGGTTAATGGATTCTGCTTGCTCTAATCATATGACACCTCACAGAAGCATGTTCTCCTCCTATGTTGAATTGAAAAATGGCTCTGTGTCCATGGCTGATAGCAGCAAAAGACATGTGCTAGGTATAGGAACTGTATGTCTGAAATTTCAATCTGGTTTTGTGCTTAAACTGAAAAATGTGAGACATGTTCCTAAGCTAAGTAGCAATCTGATGTCTTGTGCTATCTTGGAGGATTCTGGGTATAAGGGTACTTGGGGTGATGGGGTTATGAATATTATGCATGATGGTTTAATTTCCTTCAAAGCTGTTAGAATGCACAATATGTATGTTGCATCTGCATTATCTGTTTCACATGTTAATTCTGTCCAGCATGACATGACTGATCTTTGGCATAGAAGATTAGGTCACATCAGTAGTAAGGGACTAGGAATCTTGCATAAAAACAAGTATCTGAGTGATGACATTGTTGTTGATATGCCTTTGTGTGATTCATGTGTTATGGGTAAACAGTCCAAAGTGAAATTCCCTAAATCTCCCTTCCCTAATACTTTTAAGTGTACTGTAATCCTTGAATATGTTCATGCTGATGTTTGGGGTCCTGCACCTGTCTCCACACCTGGTGGAAACAGATATTTCTTGTCTGTTGTTGATGATTGTTCAAGAAAAGTGTTTGTTTTCTTACTTGTGCAAAAGTCTGATGTTTTTGATAAGTTCAAATCTTGGAAAACCTTTATTGAAAATCAAACTAACAAGAAACTTAGAACCCTTAGAACTGATAATGGCACTGAATTTTGCAATCATGAATTTGATTCTCTGTGTGCTGAATTTGGCATTAGAAGACATAGGACTGTTGCATATACACCTCAACAGAATGGCATAGCTGAAAGAATGAATAGAACATTAATGGATAGGGTTAGATCCATGTTGCATGCATCTGGTTTGCCAAAAGTTTTTTGGGGTGAAGCTGTCTTAACAGCTGCTTATGTGATTAACAGATCTCCATCTGTGCCTTTGTCTGGAAATTTGCCTGAAACTTTGTGGACTGGGAAACCAGCTGATTTGTCTAATTTGAGAGTTTTTGGATGTTCTGCTTTTGTGCACCATAAAACTGATAAATTAGAACCTAGATCCTTAAAATGTGTTTTTATTGGATATCCTGAAGGGGTAAAAGGTTATAGATGTTGGCTATAGAATGAACATGGTTTTAAAACTATCATTAGTAGAAATGTTGTTTTCAATGAAAATGAATATCCATGTTTGCCTGTGCCTTCATTTATTGTTCCTCCCTCTGCTCCAATTGAGGTGGAGAATCCTCCTTTTGAAAATGAGGAAATTGATGATGATGAGTCATCTTCTGTGCCTGAAAATGTGTTTGATCAAAATGTTGAGTCTGATTTGCCTGATATTGATGATTTGCATGATTATCAACTTGCTAGGGATAGACCTAGAAGAGAAATTAGGAAACCTCAGCATCTTGACAATTTTCAGCTTGCATCTTTTGTTTTCAATGTGTTTGATGCTTTAGATGGAAATGAACCTAAGTGCTACAAAGATGCTTTGAAACTGCTTTTCTGCATGGTGATCTTGATAAGCAAATTTTCATGTCTCAACCTGAAGGCTTTGTTGATTCTGTTAATCCTGATTATGTCTGTTTGGTAAAGAAATCTCTTTATGGCCTTAAGCAGTCTCCCAGACAGTGGAACAAAAAATTTGACTCTTGCATGCATTCTTTGAAATTTAAAAGAAGTGAATTTGATCCTTGCTTGTATTTCAAAGATGACTGTCAATTTCCTGTGTTCCTATTACTCTATGTTGATGACATGCTTATTGCTAGCCCCTGTTTAAAGGCTATTGATCATGTGAAGAAGTGCTTAAGTGATAACTTTGACATGAAATTTCTTGGTGATTCAAAGAGAATTCTGGGTATGGACATTGTTAGGAACAGAAAAGAGTGTTCTTTGTTTCTGAACCAATCTGCCTATGTGGAAAAAATCTTAGATAAATTTGCCATAAAAAATGCCAAGTCTGTGTCTGTGCCTTTAGCTGCTCATTTTCTGCTAAGTAAGGAACAGTCCCCAAAGACTGAACCTGAAATTTGTGACATGAAATCTGTTCCTTATGCTAATGCAATTGGCTCTATTATGTACTTAATGGTCAGTACTAGACCTGACATTGCTTATGCCATTAGCTGTTTGAGTAGATATATGGCTAATCCTGGCATGCCTCACTGGGAGGCTGTAAAGTGGTTGATGAGATATCTAAGAGGGTCTGTTAAAACAGGGATTGAATTTTCTAAGTGTGAAAAAGGAATTGTCTTATGTGGTTATGTGGATTCAAATTATGCAAATAACAGAGATAATAGGAAGTCCACCACATCTTATGTGTTTACTTTGTGTGGTTCTTGTATTTGCTGGAAATCTCAACTTCAAAACATTGTAGCCCTTTCTACCACAGAGGCTGAATACATTGCAGCCACTGAGGCTATCAAAGAATCTCTCTGGTTGAAAGGGCTGCTCTCAGAAATTGGTTTTTTGAAAGATAAAGTTGTTGTGTTTTCTGACAGCCAATCAGGTATACAATTGTGCAAGAACCCTGTTTTTCATGACAGAACAAAACACATTGAGATCAAATACCACTTCATCAGGAAAGTGGTGGAAAATGGTGAGATAGACCTGGAGAAAATTCCTTCTGAATTCAACCCTGCTGACATGGGTACTAAGGGCCTACCTGTGGAAAAATTGAGATCATGTTTGAGAACCTTGAACATTGTCTCAAAACATGATTGAAACAGACATGTGTGTTTGTGCTTGCTGTGTGCAAGCTTGTTAAATGCTTTCTATGTGATAGCTTGTGTTATTTGTTTAACTTCTGTATGATGTTAAATTGTGTTTTATCTTGGTGATTACCTCCTTTGTGGAAAAAAAAAACTTTGTGAATCTTCTACTACAATCTTTGTGATTAGTGTTTAAGATTCAAAGTTACGGCAATGATGATCCCAGTCCATTAAGTGTGTGTCATACTGATCCTTTTATTGGTCTCAGGTGGAGAATTGTTAAGTATTGAGCCCACATAAAATGATCTGTTGTGATCTGGGCCCAATAGCTATATTAATTCAAAGCCCAACTTGGGAAATCGGGCCCAACGTTACTTAAGCCCACTGATCAGTCAAACCTAGATCTTGACCGTCGGATAGAGGGCTTCAATCTGAGCCCTCCATTTACCCACTCCTCTATCTTCTCTCAACCCTAGCAGCTTTCATCTGTTGCGCCGTTTCTCTCTCTTCCCTTGTCCCCTTCTCTCTCTACAGTGTATCGTCACCCCTTGTCGTTTTCCGGCGACACCTTCGCAGGTCCGGCCGGACAATGGGTGTCCTTACCGTCGCAGCACATTTAATGCTGAAGACCGTTGAAACTCCGTGTATTTATACTGTGGTGAGAGAGAGAGAGACAAGTGTGATTCACCTTTTATTCAAACCCCTTCATTTCTGGTCTTAATCCTCTTCTGTGAGGGTTTCGGCTTTGTGTGTGCAGAAATCTGGGTTTGTGCTGAGTGGAGAGGGTGAGTTATCACCGAGTTGACTGTGCATGTGTTGGTGAGTCAACTCGGAGTGAGGTTTGGGGTCAGATCTAGGGTTTCGATCAGTGGCAGTGCTTGGTGCTTGTTTTCGGTTGGTGTTACCACCAGACCTTGGATCTACAGTTGAACACTGGAAATAGGGAACTGAGCCGTTCTTTATTATATACTCTTTCTGTTCCATTTTACCTTCTGTGTTATCTAACTGTCTTTACAGATCTATGGCTATGTCTGGAAGAACCTGTACCTAACAAGAACCCATCGAATTATGGAGGATTTCTCGGAGTCCGTACCATGTTCTTCTCTCTCTCGCAGTCGATTCCGTCTTACGTATGAGCTCAGTAAGTACCCGATTTCCACTTTCTCCACTCTTCACATGATTTCATAGTTCACATATTTTAGGGTTTACCGGTTAAATGTAGAATGTTTCATACTATAATTTGATGCAGGCTGGATTTATTTGGGGTTCTTGTTTTGGTCCATTTGATGCTAAGAGACTAGGTAAATTCACTCACCATGGATCGGAACTTTCTGGAAGGAAATGTATTGAATATTTAATTTTATTTAGGTGTTCATTTGAAAATAAATACAGTTTGAATAATTAATGTCAATTAACTAATATATCAGATGTGTGTTTGTTTCTACTCTAGCATTCTGAAAAATTGATTATAATTCGATCCTATACATCTGACTTGAACTTGTTTGCTTGTGTTAATTTGAACTAAATATTCGGTAGGTCTGTCAGGCAGTGCTCGTGCATCGTTCATTGTAAGCTACTCGAACATTCTATTTAATCAGTTTTAGGATCATAGATATTACACATGGTGCACATGTGTGGCATGTTACATGTATCTGACCTGTTACGTGAGCTCATAGCTGATATCGTGTGCTCGTTTGTTTGCTTGCAGGCCAGGACGGTTGGCCAGTGCGGGTTTTCATGTGGTAATTTACTACATATGCATAATGTAAATTTTATTATGTTTCTTTCATCATTTTTCTGATTAATCTCTTTCTTAAACATTACGTAACTGAGATCAGTTTAAATAAAATAAGGATTTGTTTTATAATGGTTGTTGTTTGAGAAGCCATTTGGATTTTATAAATTGTGTTAGGTGTGTGTGTCGTAGTGCCACAATGCAAGTTCATTTCCAATTTTCAGTGTGTTTTTTCGTATAATACATATTTTTTTTGTTTGTCACTGTCGTATATTATGATCTTATATTGTTTCGATATTTATGTGGTTCTGTTGTTTTCTCCTCGTTTCTAGGATTATTTGCTGCAATATTTTCATTTTCTCACTGTGGGCTAGAAAGGTATCGACGGAAAAAAGACTGGGTTAGTGAATGCCTCTTCGGTTTTTCAACTGCTTATTTGTAAGGATCACATATGTGAAATTATGTGAAAGAGATCAAATGAAGATATCTGAATTTTGGTAAGAATTTCCAAAGCAAATCGACCCATCTGTGTAAGACATTGATTGAGAACGAGGTTCTAGTAAAACTCGGAGGTCACATAACTCTTTTCAACAGCAATGTGTATTAAAATGATTTACTTATGCTATTTCTGCTCTCGTTATTGACATATCATGACTTCATGAATGATAATTTTCAGGGCTTGTTTCGAAAAATCTGATTCGAAGATTCATATTTTTCGATTTGACAAAAAAAAATGGCTGTAGGTTAATACTTTGGCAGCGGGTGCTGTTGCTGGGGCAGCTTTTGGTGCTGGAACCCGGAATTGGAAACAAGTTGCTTGTTTTACCGGTCTTTTTCTTTCGTTTTTTCAGTTGGCCAAGGATTCTAGATCTGTCTGATGCACCACTTTTTGGGTGAGCAAGCTAATGTGACTTTTCAAATAATATCTCTATTTTTCAAAGATTTGATAAATGGAGTTTATATTTCTATTTTAATCGCAATTTGATAAATGGATTTCGAATTAATTATCGCGATGTGTCTCTTCTGGCCCTCTTTGCTTTACCATGTACATGTAGGGTATTTCTTGTTTTATCTATTATGTGAAATGGATTTCGAAAAAAACAAAAATAATTTATTTCTGTTCCGTAAAATTACAACTGTCGTCTTACTAAATTCGATTTCCATCTGCAGATATTTTTTGCCGACCCTAATGGTGAATAGTTTGAGTATAACAAGACTTTTTTCTATCCTACATCCAAACGAAGTTCAACGGGTAATATTCAGCCGTACACATTTTACACACATTCGCATGTATTTGTGTGTGGATTTCCGTTGTCTTTTTCACCCGGTGTAGAATCTACGAGACCTTAGAACAAAGGTCCACCGTCTTTAATTTGATGAAATTGAATATTGTGGGGGTTAATTATAAAATGAGGTAGTTGATCTATAATTTTGAATGTGAATTGTGTAATAAATTGGATTCAACCAACATAGTTAATGAACACACTGTATGTATAATTTTGTGGACTAGTCTCATCATGGGACCTTGTGATATTTACAGTTTTGGTATATCTCGTTTGATTTTGGTCAATTCTTCCTCTGCATTTAGGGCACGTCGTTCATTTATTTCCTTTCTGCAAACGTTAATTATCTTGTACCTTTTGAAACATTGAATTTTATTTGGTATTAGGTATGAATTATGATTGATTGGGATCCATAATAATTAGCATGCAACTATTAAGTTTTTATTATGGTTTCATTATTATTCATTGAAATTTATCATACCCTTTTATCTATTGCATAAAATTATTAATCATTAACGTGGTTTAAAGCAATCATCCTTTTTAAATTTTTTTTAGAAATAAACACGCCATTTCGATGGGGTAGCTTAAAACTCGAGCTGGTAGGTATTTTAGTCTTTATGGTAAATTACGGTCACCCCTGATATAAGATCAAATTACGATAAAAAAATTCTTGTTTGTGTAATTACAACTACCTCCATCAATTATGAATCTTTTCAAATATCCACCCTTATGGTGTGAAATTCAACATAATTTTCTACATTCTACGTAATGTTCTCGTTTTGTGCGACCATGTAGTTACGTTTCTGATGTATCACAATATGATCATCTTGTTTCAAAATGTGGAGCTTGAATGTGGTAAAACGGGTAGACACTGGAGACTTTTCCACATGATTAGTAAGATTTCACTAAATTTAACACCGTAAAGTTGAATGTTTAAAAATATTTATAGTTGAGGGATGATCGTAATCACCCAAACATAAAATGTTTTCCGTAATTTGACATATTTTTAGGGGTGGTTGTAATTTATCATGGTCTTAAATACGTTGATTCTAAGGTGCCCCCTGAGTCCTGAAATTTTCTCTTTTGTCTATTTATTTTAATTAGTTTTTATCTCTACCATGTCTTTTGCCCTTTTTTTTAAAATACTAATTTATAATGATCGAATAGAGAGAAATTCTCGTAATAATAAGGGATTAAAATCTTAGAATGGAAGAAAGGTGGTACTGGTAGGAGTAAATAAATTGAACCAACCCAACCATCCACCAGTAATAATAAAGCTCTCTCTAACAATGGGCCATGGACACACAAACACATTTATTATCATAATATAATATAATTAAAATAAATAAATAAATGTATTTCAATTATTGATTGAGGATAAAGAAGAAAAGGGTGTGTAATTTCTCAGAGGCAGCTTGTCCACTCCAGCATCATCAATGTTGTATTGCACATGCATCTTAATCTCATATATATATATATATATATATATATTAATCTCAACAATCCGATGAGAGAGAGAGAGAGAGTGCATGAGATGAGAGAGAAGGTGTACTTTTTGTATCTATCGTATGTATGTATGTATGTATGTATATATATATATATATTTATATAAATATGTTTGTGATCCCGGACATGGGCATGGGCTTATCCTACACGTAACCCCGCGAAAATTTTGGAATCTTCCAACGCCAATATCCCCCCTTCATCGAATTCGAACCGCCTTATAATTTCTCTTTCAATTAATTTCTAATTTATTCAGACACTAAATTTCATCTCTATGTTCTCTACCCCCGTTTCCTGTTCTTTCTTACATTATTAGCAGATCCATACCTTTTTTGTTTATTTGTTTTTCTTGGGTTGGTTCTCACTGGTTGGTTTCTCTTATCTTCTGTCGGAAAGTTAAGCATGGAAGTTGCGTATCACGAGGTGGGTTTCACTTATTCTGGGATTTTTTTTTAATTTTGGGTTTGTTCATGTAATATGAATTGATTTCTCAAATAGTGCCTTTTTTTTCTAACTATTTGGGGATTTTTTTAGGAGTACGTAAAGAATTCCAGATGGCTGCCCTTTTCTTCTCCAAAAGCTCTGGTTTTTCTTTGCCATGGAGTACGTATATCCGATCGCCTGTTTCTCTATGTATAGAAGATGAAGAACATTTTTTTCACTTCTGAGAGACAGGTCGAGTAGAAAGACTGCAGGGGAAAAGGGAATTTGGTTGGAATATAATAATTAATTTGTTGGTAATTTCTTATTAAACAATTAATTTATAGTGAAAACAATTAATTATTCATACAAAATTAATTTCAAAGCCATCGGAATAATTCAAATTTCAGTTTAGGAGTTTATCAAAAAATATATCGTTATAATAAAAATATGAAATGCTTAGCGCGTTTATTCAAACACCTGATCTTCTAGCAGTGAGATTGCAGTAGAATCAATTGATTTAAAAGATAATGAATGATTTTCCGGCGGATTTCATTTTCGGTTCCGGAACTGCCGCCCCTCAAGTTGGTTAATTTTTCTCTTCTCCTTTTCTTTTATATCGTACACCTTAAAATCAAACCAAACTACTCGATTTAAGATGGTTCATTAAAATAAAGTATCGGAGATATTATATTAAATGATACATTTCACTAACAGTTTAAGTTTTTTGTTGAGATGATCATTCAATATGGTATCAGAGCCAGACCAAATGAAATGTCTTGAGTTCGAATCCCACAGCGACATATTGGGGATATTAATATTAAATGATACATTTCACTAACAACTCAAGCTCAAGCTTTTGGTTGAGATGGTCATTCAATAGAGTAACCAAACTTGAACACATATTTTTGTTCGATAAGCTATGAAACCCGGCTCGATCTCAAGCTTATAAATTCGATTAAAACTCGACTCGATCGCTTATCAAGCTCGATAAAAATTCAAACAAGCTTGAGCGGATTATACAATCAAATGTTTTTTTTTAAAATATCTTTTCGGGGACTTGGTTTTTGTGTGATTGAAACATGTAAATGAAAATAAATAGAAAAATTGATGTATATATATATATGCATGTGGGAAGTACGAGGGAGCAGCATTTGATGATGGCAGAACTCCTAGCATTTGGGACACCTTTTCTCATTCTGGTCTCATTCTAATTTTTGTCCTTTTTTATCTTTTCTTTCCTACCAATCATTTTCCATGGTTAAGTTACATTTTAACTCTGCTTATTTATTACACACTACTATCAATGTCTTCTCTAATTCTTAGGTCGTACAATGGGGGCCACCGGAGACATAGCATGCGATGGATATCACAAATATAAGGTCTCTAACCCTTCAACACACAAACACACACACACACATATATACATATATGATATATGACAATGAAGTTTTTTGTCAAACTAATGGTCGACACGAGCCTTGAGGCGTTCAGAATCTCTATATCGTGGTCAAGACTCATTCCGTGTATATATTTTTTACCCTGCATTTCGTTACATTATATATCAAGAATCCCTCTCTCTTTACTTCATTCCTTGTAATACGAACCTGATTTCTGCTGTCGTTTTTACAGATGGAAGAGGACCTATCAACTCAAAGGGGTTACAGTTCTACAATAATCTGATTAACGAACTTATCAGCAACGGTGAGAAAAACTGCGTTTCCTTCCAAATATATATTACTTGGTCGAAATTACAAGCCGACGAAAATCTTAGGAGATTTTTGTATCTGTGCAGGAATTCAACCACATGTTACATTAAGCCATCTTGATCTTCCACAAGCACTCGAGGACGAGTACGGTGGATGGCTTAGTCCAAAGATTGTGTATGCGTTCTACAATAATCTATATATTCGATGTATATATGAAGAAACTAATTTGTTGGGTGTTATTGCAGGAAGGACTTTTCGGAGTACGCGGATGTGTGCTTTAAGGAATTTGGAGACAGGGTTTTGTATTGGACAACACTGAACGAGGTAAACATAGCTGCCTTAGGAGGCTACGATGAAGGAATAGCGGTACCTGGCCGCTGTTCCGATCGAACTAGATGTGCTGAGGGTGACTCCACAACTGGGCCATACACAGTTGTTCATAACATGCTGCTTGCGCATTCAGCCGTTACTAAACTGTACAGACAAAAGTACAAGGTATCTATCTCGTCTGAATTTTTTTTTTCTTTTTCTTAACGAACAATTCTTGTAATAAATCTGACAAAAACAATGATTTGTTAGAGTACTCAAAAGGGCAAAGTGGGAGTGAACATATACACGTTCGGATTATTACCGTACACAAACTCAACAGAAGACGTGATGGCAACTGAAAGAGCTAAAGAATTTTATATAGGCTGGTTAGTAAGTTTTACATTTTCCTTTTGTTTTGTTGACTTGGTGGTTATACCTAATAAGTATTTTTGGGCAGGATAATGAATCCCCTGGTGTTTGGAGACTATCCCGATGAATTAAAGAAACGAGCGGAATCGAGGATTCCGTCTTTCACGAAAGAGGAGTCGGAGCAAATAAAGGGTTCGTTTGACTTTATAGGAATGAACCATTACATTACAGTATTCATCAAGGATGATCCCACCATGATGAGCGATATGAAGGAATTTTACGCTGACCTGGCAGTCGAACTTATAAGTACGACCTACAATGTTTATCTCACTTCACATAAATCAACACACACACACACACACTATCCTCTCATTCCTAGAGAGTCCTATGCGTTCGATAATTTTTTTACTTTTTTCAATTTTAGTTTTGTGGTTTGTTTTGCAGTTGAAAGGGGTGGTGCACCTGTAGATCAGGTGAAATATGACATTTAATTTCGTTAATATTGTCTTAAAATCACGGTCTAACACTTTCATTCATCTCAGTATCCTGTGCTGCCTTCGGGTCTAAAGGCAATGCTGGAGTATCTAAAACAAGTTTACGGAAATCCACCTATTTATATCCAAGAAAACGGTTTTTTCTCGCTCTCTCTCTCTCTCTCTCTCTCTCTCTCTCTCTCTCTCTCTCTCTCACACACACACACACACACACACATACACACACTCAGAGAGAATAAACAAGTGACTATTCAAACTGACAGGCCAGATGACACGGCGCAATGGGACTCTAAATGACACTACAAGAGTGGAATATCTACAGGCTTACATCGGCGCTGTACTTGAGGCAGTAAGGTAATCTAATTTCTAACTCGATAGAATTTAGACTGTGTCTTAAGACTAATCCGAAGTCAGTATAGGCAAATAATTAGATTCCGCATTAGAATTAGCCGACGCCTTTTCTTTGCCTTCACGGGCTTTTTTCGATCCGATAGGTTTCGATCCGATGGTGGAGAATAACTTGGTGGGAAATTCATTGGTTGAGATGAAGGAAATGCAAAAGTGAAATATGAAAGGTCAGTGTAAATCCGAAAAGGCAAAAAAGTAAAATCTGCAAAAGATAAAAGTAAAATTTCAATTCAAAAGTTTGTATAGTCGTTATGAACACCATTTCTCAATCAAGTCATGTAAATGTTGTCTGCAATCTGTGAGACAAAATATGTGGTGAAAGAAAATAATTCTGAACAAAAAAGAAAAGGAAAAAAAAAGACATGATAATTAATATTATATGTCACCTAGCGATTTGTTCTCCATATTACGTCTACAGATAATTTTATTTATGGTCTTGTCTTCCCTATTTAAATGTGTTTCAATCAATAAAATATTTCATCATTAATATATCCATTTGATCATTTTACGAGCAAAATATTTTCATAATGAATTATGGTTCGAGTTCTAATCAATTTGATTGGGTTGCGTATAATGAGCAAATACTTGAAGAAGACAACGAAGCAGGTACACTTGCTCATCTACACTATGATTGTACACGGTGGCTCTGTTCTTGGACGCAAATATAAACCTCGCGACTGAAAAGGTAAACTCGAACAACTCATGAATGATTATTTCGTTGACAACCCTGTTTTTCATGCTGATGATTTCAGACGCCAGTTCGGAATGAAACGTCATTTACTATTACGTTTGGTTGAGGATTGCGAGCACTCGAATCCATATTTTCAAAGAAAACTTGATAGGCACAAATTAGGATTCTCATCGCTCCAAAAGGTTACAATTATGCGAATGTTGGTTTACGCATACTCTGATGCAATTGACGAAACATTCCATATGGTAGAGACAACTGCAACCGAGACCTTGCGCGAATTTTGCAAAACAATTTTGCGGTTGTATAAAGATGAGTACGTTCGTGCTCCGACAAACGCAGATCTAACAAGGCTACTTGACAAAGCGGAATGACGCGGGTTCCCTGGAATGATGGGTTCACTAGACTGTATCCACTGGATATGGAAAAATTGTCCAACTGCATGGCATGGGAGCTTTTGGGGGAGAAAACATAAACCCACAATTATTCTCGAAGCAGTGGCTTCATCTGACACTTGGATATGGCATGCATTCTTTGGCGTACCTGGTTCACAAAACGATATCACTGTCTTGGGTCGTTCACCCTTGTTCGACAACCTTGTTTAGGGAATTTCCCCAAGAGTCACTATTAGGTAAATGAAAAAGATCACTGCATGGCGTACCATCCTACTGATGACATATACCCGAAATGGGGTACGTTAATTCAATCCATTAAGCAGCCGATAACACATCAAGAACAGTTGTTCTAAAAAATGCAAGAAATATACCGCAAGGATGTTGAACGAGCTTTTAGAATTCTTCAAGCCCGATTTGCCATAGTGAAGCAGCCTGGAAGAGAGTGGTATCCGAAATACCTAAGAAATATTATGATGACATGTATCGTCTCCACAATGTGATTGTGGATGACGAAAGAGATGAATACGTTGATGCTGAGTCAGATGACGATGACAACAACCCAGCCACATATCAGAGAGCTCGTGCCAACAGTTATGATAGAAACGAGGAATTAGATTTAAACCCAAGAACAAGCGGAATATCTATAAGTGATTATATAAGACGTCGTCACACAATCCGATCGGTTGAAGTAAATCGTAACATTCAGCGTGATTTAATAGCTCATGTGTAGGCAAGACACAATGGAAATATGTAATAATTTTACTTAAGTTTTTATTACGAATTAAGTGTTTGGTTTTATTAAAATTATGTTGTTATTTCAAATTTATAATAAAAAGTAAAATAATCATATTCGTTGTTTTTTCTAATTTTTATAATTGTAAAAGAAATATATTAAAAACTAAAATAAAACCAAATAAAGAAACAAAATAAAGCCAAATAAAGACACACAATTAAATAATAATAAAATTACGAATAAAGATATAATTTAAAAGGAATTAAAAAAATAAAAGAAATGAAATTAAAAAAATATTAAAAGTCTTTATTGACAAAGTGTTGATTTTATTGAAATCATGTGATATGAAATTATGTACTTAAATAAATGAAATAAAATAAAATAATGATAGAATATAAAAAATAAATACAAAAGAAAAAGAAAATAAAAAATAAATAAATTTGACATGTAAAATAGAAAAGAAAAAGGAAAAAAAAAAGACAAACAACCGCATAACAAAGAAAAAAGCGAAAAAAAAAAGAAAAAAAAAAGAAAAAAAAAGGGAAAAGTAGCGAGTTAAACACACGCCCCTTCTAGCAAGTGAGTTGGAAGGGGACAGCTCAAGGCAAAGTCTCCCCCACCCCCCTCCCATTACCCACCTCCATTGGAGGTGGTTTTGTCTACCCACCCCCATCTCCATTGGAGATGCTCTTAGAGCATCTCCAATGGAGATGGGGGGTTTCCCCCTTCCCTCCCTTTCCCCTTCCCTTTTCCTTTACCTACGTCGTTTCCAAGCCTTCGATTTTTTATTATTTTTTTTCCAATTCTCACTCTCACCATTATAATAATAATAATAATAATAATAATAATAATAATAATAAGAATAATAGTAATAATAATAATAATAATAATAATAATAATAATAATAATAATAATAATAATAATAATAATAATAATAATAATAATAATAATAATAATAATAATAATAATAATAATAATAATAATAATAATAATAATAATAATAATAGTAATAATAATAATAATAATAATTTAATTATAATAATACAATATTCAAATAAAAGTAAAGAAATAATCTTCAACTAATTCAACAATTGAAAAAAAAAACAAGAATAATAACCACTAATACAACATTTGAAAAACAACAAGGATAAAACCGATTAATACAACAAGAATCCAAAAACAACTAGGATAATACCGATTACTACAAACAAAAAATAATAATATTTAATTGAAGAAGGAATTGTTTTTGGTTTTTTTGTTTTCTTTTTTTGCCAAAAAGTTGTTATTCGATTTATATTTATGAAATAAAGAATGGGCCTCGTCAAAAACCTTGTGGGCCGACACAAGGAAAAGAGTACCCATATAAATCGAACAAGGTAGATCAATCAAACGGATTAAATCCGTCGTCGTCTAAATGGGCCGAAGAACTTTCAAATAAGTCTTTTGCGATTTGTTTCCTTTGTATTTCTTTTCTTTTCGACTTCCAATATGCTTTTGTACCTGGAGTGCAATCAGTTGTATCCATTGCCATAACTCTATGTTCTTCTTGCATTTGTTGGATTGCAATGTTTTGATCATGCCTAAGCTTTCGTCCGGCCTCTAGTATTTGTACTTGATTATTACAATTAGATTCCGCATTAGAACTAGGCGACGCCTTTTCTTTGCCTTTACGGGCTTTTTTCGATCCGATAGGTCTCTTACTACGTTGATCAGTATGTGAATCCACTGGTGGTAGCTCATCATGCAAAACATACGGTGGTGGAGAATAACTTGGTCGGGAATTCATTGGTTGAGATGAAGGAAATGCAAAAGTAAAATATGAAAGGCCAGGGTAAATCCGAAAAGGCAGAAGTAAAATCTGCAAAAGACAAGTAAAATTTCAATTCAAAAGTTTGTATAGTCATTATCAAGTTTGTATAGTTGTTATCAACACCATCTCATATTAAGTCATGCAGATGTTGTCTGCAATCTGTGAGACAAAATATGTGGTGAGAGAAATAATTATGAACAAAAAAAAAAAAGGAAAAAAAAAAGACATGATAATTAATATGATGTGTAACCTAGCGATTTGTTCTCCATACTATGTGTACATATAATTTAGTTTATGGTCTTCTCTTCCCTATTTAAATGTGTTTCAATCTATAAAATATTTCATCATCAATATATCCATTTAATCATTTTACAAGCAAAATATTTTCACAATGAATTATGGTTCGAGTTCTAATCAATTTGATTGGGTTGCGTATAATGAACAAATACTTGAAGAAGAAAACGAAGCAGATACACTTGCTCGTCTACACTATGAAACAACCGTTAATCAAGAGGTTGTACACGGTGGATTTGTTCCTGGACGCAAATATAAACCTCGCGACCGAAAAGGTAAACACGAACAACTCATGAATGATTACTTCGCTGACAACCCTGTTTTCTATGCTGATGATTTCAGACGCCGGTTCCGAATGAAGCGTCATTTACTATTACGTTTGGTTGAGGATTGCGAGCGCTCCATATTTTCAAAGAAAACTTGATAGGGCCCACAAATTAGGATTCTCATTACTCCAAAAGGTTACAGTTGCTATGCGAATGTTGGCTTACGCATACTCCGCTTATTCAATTGACGAAACTTTCCATATGGCAGAGACGACCGCAACCGAGACCTTGCGCGAATTTTACAAAACAATTTTGCGGTTGTATAAAGATGAGTACGTTCGTGCTTTGACAAACGCATATCTGACAAGGCTACTTGACAAAGCGGAACGACGCGGGTTCCCTGAAATGATCGGTTCACTAGACTGTATGCACTGGACATGGAAAAATTGTCCAACTACATGGCAGGGGAGCTTTTTGGGGAGAAAACATAAACCCCCAATTATTCTCGAATCTGTGGCTTCATCTAACACTTGGATATGGCATGCATTCTTTGGCGTCCCCAGTTCACAAAACGATATCACTGTCTTGGGTCGTTCACCCTTGTTCGACAACCTTGTTTAGGGAATTTCCCCAATAATTCACTATCAGGTATATGAAAAGATCACTACATGGCATACTATCTTGCTGATGGCATATACCCAAAATGGGGTATGTTAATTCAATCCATTAAGCAGCTGAGAACACATCAAGAACAGTTTTTCTAAAAAATGCAAGAGGCATACCGCAAGGATGTTGAACGAGCTTTTGGAATTCTTCAAGCCCGATTTGCCAGTGAAGCAGCCTGGAAGACGGTGGGATCCGAAGGACCTAAGAAATATTATGATGACGTGTATCGTACACCCCAATATGATTGTGGAAGACGAGCGAGTTGAATACGCTGATGCTAAATCAGATGACGATGACAACAACCCAGCCACATCTCGGAGAAATCGTGCCAACAGTTATGATAGAAATGAGGAATTAGATTTAAACCCAAGAACAAGGGGCATATCCATAAGTGATTATATGAGACGTCGTCACACAATGCGATTGGTTGAAGTAAATCGTAACCTTCAGCTTGATTTTAGTAGCTCATGTGTGGGCAAGACACAATGGAAATATGTAATAATTTTACTTAAGTTTTTATTTACGAATTAAGTGTTTGAATTTATTAAAATTATTTTGTTATTTCAAATTTATATTAAAAAGTAAAATAATCGTATTTGTTGTTTTTTGTAATTTTTATAATTATAAAAGAAATATACTAAGAAATAAAATAAAATAAAATAAAACCAAATAAAGAAACAAAATAAAACCAAACAAAGTAACAAAATTAAATAATAATAAAATTACGAATAAAGATATAATTTAAAAGGAAATACAAAAATAAAAGAAAAGAAATGAACAAAATATTAAAAAAATTTAATTACAAGGTGTTGATTTTATTGAAATTATGTGATATTAAATTAAGTAATTAAATAAATGAAATAAAATCAAATAATGATATATTATAAAAAATAAATACAAACGAAAAAGAAATTAAAAAATAAATAAATTTGACATGTAAAAGAAAAAGGAAAAAGAAAAAAGAAAAAGAAAAAGACAAACAAGCGTATAACAAAGGAAAAAAAAAAAGAAAAAAAAAGTAGCGAGTAAATCACACGCCCCCTTCCAGCAAGTGAGTTGGAAGGGGGGAACTCAAGGCAAAGTCTTCCCCCCTTCTCCCCACCCATACCCAACCCACACCCACCCCCCATTACCCACCTCCATTGGAGGTGGTTTTGTCTCCCCACCCCTACCCACCCCCATCTCCATTGGAGATGATCTTAGGGGTTTAGGGATATTTATTTGAAAAGTCAAGTAAACCTGTAAAGTAGGCACAAGCAATGCACATGTTATAAATTCTGGGCAAAATGGCCAGAAAATAGGTAACATGGTACAAAAAACAAGTTTGGGTGAGATCGTGCAACTTTTTTTTGTTGAGGTGGTAATTCACAAAAAAGGGCAAGATTTAGGTGGTTTAATGTTATTTACCCTATTTTATATTTAAAATTTAAAACATAATAAACAACAATCTAACAATTATCTGATCATATAAAATTCAAAAGTAACTAAAATTAAATTATCGGAAAATAATTAAAAAGTAATATATTGTACAATAATGAATGAAAATATATTTTAAGAAATTAGTGAATAAAAATAAATTTAAATACTTAAGATTACTATTTGTTATTGATGTTGTATCACTTTGAACGGGAACGCAGGGGTAGGTCACATCACGCGAGTAGGTGATCTGGGGCGGAGTTCCTGCCTTGCAGGGGTGGTAGCACGCCTAAGCCCTACCCTAAACCTACAAGGATAAGCACATGTAAACTAAGCCGGGGTTGATCTGGCGAAAACTCCACCGACGCTCAAGACAGATGCTGGCACCAACGATTAAGGTTGAGGGCACAAGATTAATAGACTATAGATTTGTTAGAGCGTACCTTTTACCATGAGGCTGAGGTATTATTTATATCAATTAATAGTAGAGTCCTAATTATTGTTATAGTATAATCCTAATTAGGTGTTCAATCAATATATTGGGCTTGGGCCCTTTAAACAGTGGGCTTGTCCTCTTGGAGCTTAACATCTGGCCCGATGTTGTAAAATAACCAATTGGCCCGCAAGAGGCC